TGTTGTGTGTGGAGTGTCTACGTTGCGTAGATACGTGTCATTGTGATTATAAAGCAGAGGCGGTGGCAGTTTCTTTCGCTTCAGCCATCACCACAAACTTTTCTAATACCTTGTTAAACCCATCACGTCCAACATCTGCATTTTGCTTGAATCTTCTCAAAGAAAACTCCTCCAATACATTTGACCATCCGGAAACCAGGCTACCAGCCTTAATTGCTGCCTGTTGCGTGAATTGTGTTCTAAAAAAAAAAAAAGTAATAGGTTAAAACAAACTGATTTGTTTTTGCATAGCATCCCCCTGATGCTCACCTTGTTTGATCCTCAGGATGTTCTTGATAAACAATGGTCTCTTCCACAGACAATAAATTACACAAGGTCAAATTGATAGAACGCATAGTCAAGGTCTTCTTCTTGGGGTCAATGATGGAAATTTCTCGAACATATTGCGTTGAGCTATTACCAAGGATCTAGGGGATAAGAAATAGTGTGAGTTATTCTATCAGTTGGACTCCATCCCTGATTATATATATATATTTACCTTTCTGATAATAGTGGGTATATTCTGGTTCACAGTGATAAGTCTTTCCGTGGTCAAGATGCCAGTCTCTGGATCCATTTGACGATTTAAAACATCAACATGAGACACATGAGGACAGTTTTCGTTGGGGTATTTTTGCCATTGGGCTGCTGACACCAAGTTCCATTCGTAACTGTATTCATGAGTTGACTTAAAGAACTTCATTATACACACACAAAAAAAAAAAAAAAAATTAAGAAAGAGAGAAAGAGGAGGAGGAGGAAGCCGGAAACAAAAATCTTTTTTTTTTTTTCTAAAGAATCTATAAAGATACCCCTCTTTTTTTACAAGATCCGATATCAATGGCCAATCATCATCGCTCGTTTATTGATACATCTCTAGATACTCTTGTTGTTTAATTCTTGTTTGGTCTAAAACAGATACGCACTAAAAAAAATCTCTATGATTTACATCATCATTTGCTTTGTCCTAAACCCAATGCATTCATCATTTCCCTATTTCTAAAAAACCAAAAAAAAAAAAAAAAAAAAAAAAACCGACTAAAATAGTTTTGCCATGTCGAGTAACACAGAAACTGTAACTTTATTCTTGAACAGAAAAAAAAAAAAACGATAAAATAAACACTTGAATCACAATTGTTCTTGTTTATAAACAAACCATGATTCCATCATTCTAAGCGTTTTTTCTTTTTTTATTTATAAAAGAAAAAAAAAAAAAAAAAAAAAAAAAAAAAAAAAAAAAAGACCCAAATCCTTGGAATCACATCCTCTTGCGCATCTTTCACGCACAAAATTGATAATCAACCCCCGATGGTGTGACACACAGGCATCTTTTTTCCCTTATCATGTGAAAAAAGAGTGGCTTGTCCCATCTGGGTCCCTATTATATCTTGAAAAAGCGTCCATATTTGTATTCTCAGTTTACTGGATGATTGAGAGCATCTCCATGACAAAATAAAAATTGTGCATTGTATTTTTTTTTTTTTCCAGTTTCTAGAAACAATTGAACCCCCCCCCCCAAACAGGTATTACTCGGACTGATCTTTATCTGTTGCTGGAAAGGCATTACTACTATCAAGATCCTGGTGTGTACCACGGGTCACCCCTCTCACAGGTCAAATATCCGGTAAATCGTATCTGTGGCTAGGTTAAAGGTATCCCATGGAGCACTTGGACTTTACCAAAATACCGACTAGATGGTAACACGCAATATCTCTCCCATTTATTCTAAATGGGCTCAACCTTTTCTTACCATTTTTTCGTCACCAATTGACTCAAGAGTATTGATCATCAAATCCTTCAAAAGAAAATGAAAAAAAAGTATCTCGTGGCTTTTTCTGTACCGATGAAGTTTGCGTGAATAGATGCAATCTTAGCCCTCAGATAATGATTTGGTAGCGTCCATTTGTTACTATCGCTTTACTTATGACCGCATATATCAGCTTGTCAGTTTTATACAAAGTGCACTATCGTATGTAGATTCTTAATCTGTGAATAAAAATTAAAAAGACAACTCTTAAATGAAATTCGTACAATTCTATTTCGAAATTGGTTTTTTTTAGTTTTATGTCTCCGAGTAGGAGCCAGCTTTGTGGAGGAGGATGGTTACATACCATCATTATTGGCTGTCTTCTTACACCCTTTATCCTCAACCCAACCCACCAAGTGCAGTGGATCATTTTCTGACATCCTTTTTCTGTGAAAAGTGGTGCATGTTTGTTTCATGATTTTCCTTATCATTAACTGTTTGTTTGATGATGTCTCCTGTATTTGAGATATAACACTAAAATTCAGCATTCATCAGTATTAAGCGTATCATTTCGTTTCTTCTTTTTTGACCTTAAAATCAAATCAATTGCCAATAATATTTTTACCATGTTCCTTTTCATTGATAGTCGATTTTAAAATATATGATTCGATTGTACTAGCAACATACCAGTGATCATCAACAATATTCATTAAAATGACATTGGTATCAAGACCTGTAAAAATACCTTTGTTTGATAAAAGAACAAAGTCAAAATCTACCCATCATTTAAACATGAACTATTTTCAAGAGATGTATTTCGTTCTAAAGTCCAAACCCAGCACTTTGTTATGATAGGATATCCTAGAGTATTTCGTTTTATTTTAAACAGTGGGTGGTAATAGTGATGCTTACAAGTCTTGGAAATTGACATTAACGAGAACAGAAAAATAAAGAACCACGTATTTTATTATATGCGACTTAAAAAAAAAAGAAGAAGCTATTCTAACATTTGATTTGGGTCAGCATTGCTCTCTGTTTCGAATATCTTGTTGATATTTTTTTGACAGCCAGTGCAATGAATACCCTTTTTGCGATCTCCTTCTTTCTGTTATACTGGTTGTGATATTGTTTTGGCTTGCATATCGTTCAATTTCGTTTATTATTAATCGACGTCTGTTAAAAAACTTTTTTTCTTTTTCTTCTTTTCTCCATCTGGTACCCCCATTTTCTCTCCCAATCCTTAGTCGCATGACCGCCACATAGACCCTCTGTTTATTCATGCCACAAATCATTGACGGAAACAATTCCTCGATTCATACGATAACAGGGTACAACATTACTGTTGATATTGTCATGAAAAGTCTGTGAATGATCCATCGCATTAATGCCGGAAAATGAATTGGGTTCGCTTTGTTGAGGTATGGCTGTTGTAGTGATATTTGTTCTACCCTGATCCTCCAGGTAAACTAATGTTTTAGGCTTATACTCGCTTGGCATGTGACAAGTCTGGTAATATAATCCATAATCTTTTCTTGAGATGCTGATTGTGTATCTAATCGTGTCGAAAGATCATGGTGCATGCATTTGATTTTGTCTTCTAAAATTGGCAACGCAGCGTCGCAACAAAGCATTTACAGGATCATTGTCTTCTTGGGCGACGATGGAGCATGCGCCTGTAGACAAAACGTTTTTTTTTATGAGTACATTATATCCTATTGATTATTACATGAATCTGAACTTACTGTAGTCTGTAAACAATTCATGCGAAAACAGACTATTTTGCCAAAGTGGGTGAGTAGGAAACTTCTCAATCATAAAAACCCGCATCTTGAATGATTGTTTTTCTTAAACATAAGTTCAAAGAAAGCTTTTGCTGCAACAGTTACTTCCATTTTATCGCCGTTGTTTGGGTTTGCTTGCTTTGCTGTCAATCTATCGTGCCATACGTCCAAGATCAGGAAAGATCATTTTTTTTTTTGCAAAGAGATTCAGGTGGATCAACACTAGCTCTTGGTAAATAAAATTGTCCTGATTTTTGAAATGGTGAATTTTATAGAAAAAAGAAAGATATGTTTTTAACGAACCTTGTCGAACAGTAAATCCGGTTATCACCCTCATTACTTCTCTTGGTAATCCAGTCAAATAAGCACCGTTCATGGTTGTATTGTTCCATCTACCTAGGCGCCTGATTTGGTCTTCATTTACTCCAGCTAAGTCGGCCATTCTTGCTGCAGATCCACGATTAATATGTGTCTTTTTCTTAGTAAATATTTGGGCCCCCTCTAATCCTCTGGCTACTGCATCACGGTGGCTGGCATAAGCCCATACTTTAGTTGTATCAGAGTCACTTGATTTGAATAACTTGATTCTATACCAATTTTCAGAAGTTGTGAAATCAGGAAAAGGTTCGTTTTGAACATGAAATCTCCAGAATATATACAAGCCAAAAATCATAATAGGGGCAAATCTCTACTTGGGTGCTACGGATACAGCCTGTCAGTTCAAGACGATAATTTTTGTTTGTTTCTCCTTGTCTTAATATCATAACTAAAGCAGGACACTTGATATCAGGTCGAACACTTTCAGAATCCAAGTTCATCGTTTGGAAATCTGTCAATTCGGCATTTCTAATCGATTCTCCTCTTAACAAAAAGTAGTGAGAAAACAAAAAAGCCAATGCATCACGTAAATTCTCTCCGTGGTTTCGTTGTCCATTTAAGTAAAACTGAGCAATTTTTGAGACTTGGTCCAAAGAAGTATAACCATCAGCTAAAGTCCCTTCGCCATAATCTCCACAGTTTATACAAGGCACTTCGAATTCTCTCATTTTTGAACTTTTTAATTGAGCCTAAAAAAATCGCTCTTGAATGTTCATCACAGTTGATCTCCTGAACTTGGGTACTGTTAAGATCAGTAATTGATGCAATATATTGCTGAAAAGTAGATGGTTTTGTATTGATTCCGTATATAAATGTGTGTACGTGTTTTAGATGGAATAAAATTAACGGTCCTTTTGTAGGTACAAATTATGACTTCTGCTCAGTTCGAATTAAGGTTTGCCACGAGATGACGATACCTTAATTAAAATACAAATCAATGAAAACCTTTTAGCGAACATAATGTATATCCATCGTTTTATGCCTCATATCTTCATATAAATACAGCAACTCATAAACCCGTAACCATTGTTATAAGGATCAGAGTTCCTGATCAACGTATAATTTTATAAGATGCACAGATACACAACGATTATTGCTTTTAATCTTTTTTGGAGCTACAGCAATTTTGGATTTCCGGCAACCTAACGCCTAGTTAAAAAAACCTGTTGTATATACGGTGATATGAAGTAATGTATTAATAGCAGAATTTTTCTTTATTTGATCACACAAGAAATTGTTAAGTTTTGTAACAGATGCCATGCGTCTTTCAAATCGCCTTCGTCCGTGAAAGTTTCGTTTGCCTATTTTAAAAGTTCAGTGGTCTCGAATGGTTATAATACTTTTTTTTTTTTTGTAGTTACTGGTCCACAAGCTAATGTTTTCATGAGCTATCAAAGTATAAGATCCAACCATGTTATACTGCACGGATCCGTTTCCCTCACTTAAAAAGCTGCTGGCTCGCGAAAAAAGAACTTGTTGAGTATTAAGCACAAGACATGAACAAAAAAGAGAAATTATCATAATACTATAATATGGATATGTTTTATTTATTTTTTAAAACAGAAAAGGACCATTTATTTCGTTTCTGAATTAAAACCTTTGATGTTGCATATCAGCATACGCTTGTATCTCAAAATGATTGCTCGGACGATGACTTTCAACCACCAATTTTGGGACGGGAGAGACCAAGTATGTTACATTGCCAAGTCTTACTTTGAAAGAAAAGTTATGTAATATTTAATTAGCCTCCATTAAAGGTCGGGAAAACACCCTGAAAATTGATTCTCAAAAAGAAGTTTAAAGGGAAAGGCAAGGCAATCGAACCTTTTCTTGATATTTTAAGTAACGTTGGTATTCCTGATTCCATGTGACAATTTTGATGAGTCCCCTCCAATATTTACATCAAGAAGTCGTAGTGGTTTTAAGTACAGACCCAAACTTATTATTGCCGAATTAAGTTCTGCAGCAATTAAGCGAAGTCCTGTTGCAAGTAAGCGAATTCCCGCTGCTAGTGATGTTACCATAAAAAAAAAACTAGCCACATCTGAAGTGCCCACAACAACATCGAAACCAAGTACCAAGGTCACCACAGAAGATTCAAAAGGAATGAGCAAGCACGTTATTGCAGTTAACACAGCCGTGAAGAACATTTGGAAACCTGTATACTTACAGCCATTGTATAATTTGGTTAACACTACTCATTCGCTGGTTACACGCACCTTTGCCTTTACAAAGTACATCTATTTACAAGAGTTGGCCGCAAACGAAACTTTTACTTTAAGAGAATTTGTTGAAAAAGATTTTTTTTTTTTTGTAGAAGTCTTTTTTAAGTTTTACTCTCTCGAAGACTCGAAACACAAGATTAAAGCCTGTAACCAAAAAATATAGGCAATTGATAGCAAAGTATAAAGAGGCTTACTTTCAAGACGCTAATTATATTCCGCCTAGCTTAACTAATGCTTAGCAAATAGTATTATACAAGTGTACCAAAATACATACGGCGTACCATAACAATCTCAAAGTCCATTTTGGAAATAAACTGCGTCAATTTATAAATATTATATTACAAAAGAAGCAACAAGCAAACAATTTTGGAAAAGTAATGAAGGAAAATGGATCAGATGACAAAGCTATAAAATCAGCTATCCAAAATAAAATATACGGACGTTGTAATCAGATCAGTCGTGCCGTAGCAAAGAAAGAGAGTACCTGCAGTCAGTATTCTAGACGACCAGTCAAGAAAAGAATTAAACAGTATTTTTTCTTGCTACCCCCAAAAAGGGGCTCCATTTACTATGATATTGCAGCTAAACCTGAAAAGTCATTTTGATGCGTTTTTTAATCTTGCCAAATTAGTTGAAGCTAGGACAGGAAAACTATTTATCTGCTTTCCTTTGCGCATCACCTTCATTCCAAGCTACATGACTTTGGATGCCAAAATAATTCAATTCCATATTCTCATCAAGAACAAAAGTCTTCTCCAAGCAGGAAAAAAATTTAAAATGTGGGGTTCTGTCGTAAATTTTGGAAAGAAGACGTTCAAGAATCAAGGGATTGATAATAATTTACTATTCCCGGGAACACTTGAAACAAATCGTGTTGGCGTATCAATAATAAAAAAAACCACAGAAAGTAGAAAATTCTTTACAACCGGCGTTAAAACAGCACTTGATGATCAAGAACAGTATATAGAAGGGCTAAGTCAAGATTTAAAGCTTACTGAAAACTTGTGTGTTTTGATTGATCCTGGAAGACGTGATTTATTGTATTGTATGAAAGAAACTAGTACAGTTGAAGAAAAGCAAATTCTAATTATCACCAAAAATAATCGTTCAAAATGCCCAAGTCATTTCAGATAGTTACGAAATCAAAACAAACCTTTGGTGGTCCAAGAAGCTGAAACAACGCTCTTCAAAACAGAATCTAGCTCTTTAAATTTGACAAATTTCATTCAGTACATAAAAGCCAGATCAACCGTAAATGACACGTTGACTGCATACCATGGAAACGAGACATTAAAGCCCAAAGAAATCTATTTTCCACTGTCAGAGTTCTCATTCCGAGTTGATGATAAATGCAATCTGTACTATGGCAATCTGTTTATATCAAGAATTTGTGGTTTTTTCCTCTCAACCTCAGAACTTCTCCAATGATAGAATTGTCGATCCTTAATTTTTTTCTGCATATTTACAAATGATGCTGTCACAAAAGCATATCTCACAAAGACTTGATGATGATGGAAAAAGAAGAATTCTTGCGCTTGCTGTAGAGATTAACAGGCGACTTAATCAAAGTGATCTTAACAGAAAAACTCTCAGTGCAATATTAGAGAAACTACAGCTATTACCTTTTCAAAAAATGAAACTTTTTTTAAAAATGTTTTATGAACAGAATGATATAAAACTTAAAAAGAAAACCTGGTCCTGATGCTGTCTTAGTACTTGGAAACGGGTCTCTTAGGGACAGCCATTTTTGTTAGAGATAGGCAGGGTGCGCATGGTCGTAATGTGGGATTATAATACTTTAATAGACACCAAGAGGTCAATATAACTTATCGTCTTGAATTAGATACAATTTATTACAAGCATCATATAATAAACCAGTATATGTGTATTATAGCTTACTTTCAGCTTCTAATTTGGCCTTTACCTTAATAACTCTGCGTAAGATTGGGATCAAACGAGCTTAAAGGCGAAAGAATGATCATAGAATTGTCAAAAAAAAGTATAAATCATTTAATATGCATTTAATCGGAATCATCACATTGTTTTTGATTATATATTCTTGTTTCCAGGTCTAAAGGATAGCCGAATCACAGATCTTACGCTGTGACCACAGGCACTCTGACTGTCTCTAAGAAAATTTGGCTGTTTTTAAGAGACCCGACCTTCCGAGCATGGTCGAACGTTGGTACACCTTGAACTCCAAATACTTAATCCGCTACACCTCCCTTCCTACTGATTCTTTCATCCACAAAATAATTCAATCAAACACAAGATACAGCAAATTAACTCTAATCAAAAACAAAAATCCCATCTACCAGGCCCTAATACAGGATACCTCACATATACCAATATACACAAAACTTACTCACAAAATCTCCTCTTACAAGTCTAACGCCATCATCAATTCTTCGGAAAAGATGTCACAAGGCTGCAGATCTAATATAAACTAGATCCAATTCTGGCAATTCCCGTGACTGGAAAAGAACGTAAACAAATCCTTAGGTGACGCATGAATTGGTTACCTGGTGGAAAGCGGCATTGTCACTGTGGAGGTCAGACGAGTCGAAATCACTTGTTTGTATGCCCAGCAATACCAGAAGCATATTGGGAGCACATTCAGTGTGGTTTCACAACAATTCAACCCTATCGACGCGATTCTTAAATCCCTTCCAACAAACAAGCCCAAGTCCATCACTGAAAAACAAAATCTAATAATCAATTGGCAACCTCTCTGGACTGATATCCTCAACATTCTCTTTCTCGTTGACTAGATCTGTCATAAGACACAAGAAACTTTTGTCGATGAACCCAATCCTGTTATTCTCTTCTACAAGTGGATTATGGAATAGTGCATTGTGAAAAAAAAAAAAAAAAATATAGGGCAAAAAAAAAAAAAAAAAAAGAACCCTCACTTTCCCCCGCTATTTACTACGTCACTCAATTTCGCTCTCACACTAGTATCACTCAAACTCTCATCACGGACCAACGCTTTGACCTTTTGACTTTTCATCTCGTAACCCATTCATGCAAAACCGACAGCCTAGCTGAAATTCAATTCGAAATCATGCTAATCTGTCAAATTGATCTTTTATTTACTATTTTATGATTTACAAACAAACCCTTTTCCCTTTTTTTTAATTTTCCACCTTATAAGGCTATAATTTTTAACAACACACTCCCTAAATACTCATATTCGTATCCTCACTTTTCCCGCTGAATGGGATCTTGATACAATATTTTAATAAGCGATTATTAATAAACTTCTAATGTTAAGACTTAATTATGAAAACCTTTTTTAATGTCTGCACAAAAGTGTATGTGCCAATTGTGAAGCACTGGTTGAAATAAACACGACCTCAACTTTTGATGCCTTGTGACACTCCCAATGCAGAAGACATCTTAAATCGAATCCGGGTATGTATCTTATGAACATCAATCAAATC